TTTTAAAAATGATTTGGGCTTTAAAATTAAAATTATGAAATAATCTGATTTATTTAATTAATTTGCTAATTTGTTTTAAAAAAATAAAATAATTTAATTAATTCAATATAAAAAATAAAAAAATTATTTAATTTCGATTCTTGGTCTAGACCCGAAACCCGATTCAAACCCATCAGTTATCGATTCGGGTACCCATTCGGATATTTAACTTATGAAGAACCACTCCATTCGATTCGATTTGGGACTTTTGGACTCCCCTACATCCTACTTTGATGTCCAAACATATCTTTTTAGTATGTCATAAGAGGTTTTTGGACTTTCAAGCTTTTGCTGTAGCACATTTGACATCGATGTCAAAATGTAACAGCAAGCCATCTAGTCGGCAATGACTCACATATCATATGTAGCCCTCTTGGACTTGTCCGTGGTCTAAGTAGGTTCATCGGGACATGTGAACAATTTCATTGAATGGGTGATAATCATACTTGAACTCGAGACATTTGCCTGATTTAACACCATATTGTAACATTTTATCTAAAAGTTTAAATTGTTAGAAATGGCTACTCGACACTTTTATGGTACGCACCGAAAATTAAAGGCTAGTTTGTCCAGCATATATTTTTTGAGGTCTGATAAACTGAGTTTAATACCTGAAATCTGCACATATAGAAGCCATCACCAAGCATAGCTCTATAGCCTTGAATTGGTTTAATGTGTGGATGTCTTGGTTGAAAAACCACACTGGTATTCACAAGAGCCTTAATCTTATCAGGCCTAAACAAGCAAAGGGACCAAGCAATCAAGGCACCCCAGTCATGTCCCACCAAGAAAACCTTTTCTAGCCCGAGAGTGTCGAGGAGCGCTACTAGATCCCCGACAATGTGGAGGACCGAGTAGCTAGTCACTGAAGGGGGCGCCTCCGTGTCACCATAACCCCGGAGGTCAGGAGCAATTGCACGGTAGCCTTTCGCGGAGAGGTGAAGCATTTGGTGGCGCCATGAGTACCACAGCTCGGGAAAACCGTGGAGGAATAGCACTGCCGGCCCTTCCCCTATCTCGGCTACGTGCATCTTAATACCGTTTATGCTCAACGTTTGGTGAACAATCTTCTCCATCTCTGTCTTGCTGCTCTTTCTCAATCTTGTGTAACTTGTCTTGGAAATTATAGGAACTTTGATGCTGATTTGCCTTTGGAATTGTAGGAACTTTGATGCTACTTTGTCTTACGATATTGTTCGCTATTGTGCTTGTGCCAAAGTCACGGACTAGCTAGTGGAGTTGGACTAGTTGACTTCTAGTTTCAACTCATCGCGTACGATATTCAATGTTATAGAATGTTATCATTCTCACTTTTATTGAATTAAATTAACTATTTTACAATTGTTTTATTAATTATTTGCATACAAAATTAGAGAGTGGTGCCATTCCCACTTAATTATGTATGTAATTCACCCACAACGATATGACATACCTAGCTACTTAACGCATTTTCATCAAAAATCTCAATATTGCATTATTGGATAATCTTAATTAATTTGTGAAACAATCACAAATAATAATTAATTAAACTATTCCCAAAACACCATCATCCTATCACATTGTAATTTCATTCATCGATGCCTCGTAGAGCTCAGATCATTCATTGCCAATCAAAATTAAGGGGAACTCTTTTTTTAGCGATCCGTCAAAAGTAAATTAAGTGCATGTTTGACAACCATTTTGGTAGGGAAAAAAAAAGTTTTTAGTAGTAATTTTTAGAATAATGCGTGGTTAAAAAGTTGGGGAAATTTTTTGGTATACGTTTAGAAAAACGGGCAATAATTTAACAGACTTTACGTTACATTAATTTTTGGCCAACTTAAAAAATACTTTAAAATTAGGGGTCATTTGAAAAACCATACGAAATGTATTTTGAAGGTAAAAAATACTGTACAAAATTAAGCGTCATTTTTTTTAATTAAAAAATGACATACAATATTACTAAAAAGTGACATTATGACACTTTTTAAAGTAATTAAAAAGTGACATACAATTTTACTTTTATTAAAAAAGTTGTTTGTCACTCAAAAGGTGACAAAAAAAAAAAAATGATAAAAAGAAGTAACACCTTATAAAAAGTGAGAGAAATTCAAAAAAGTTACAAACACTCAAAAAGTGATAGAAATTCAAAAAAACTGACAAACATTCAAAAAGGTAGCAAAACACCTGTCAAAACTTTGGAATCAATTCAATAAGTTGAGAGAAATTTAAAAAGTGACAACACAAAAAAAAATGAAAAAACACCAATCAAAACCTTGAAATCAATTCCATAAAGTGAGAGAAATTAAAAAATGATAAAAACTCAAAAAGTGACAACTCTAAAAAAGAGTGACAAAAATTTAAAAAAGTGACAAAACACTAATCAAAACTTTAGAATCAGTTCAACAAAATGACGAATTAAAAAAGTGACAAAAACTTTAAAAAGTGACAAACATTACAAAAAGTCACAAAATAGCTTGGTTGCTCTTTCACTCCAACATCAAACACTAACAAGGTGAGTGTGCTTGAGATGTGCACTAAAATAGAATTGCTAAACACATACACTTTCAACCTCACAACATTTGGAAGTGATCAAACTTCTCTGCCAAACTACAAGATTTCTGATCTAATTTTATGTTAACAAATAATAATTCTGTTTAATCTGAGCAACATTGGATTAAATGTTGCATAGGGACTTGTATCATTTTCTCTCTCCGATCATCATTTCTATACTTGATAATATGCTTGAGAATCCAAATTTCTTCGTACCAACAAAAAACCTAAATTAACAATTCAACCAAAGTCGTCACAAATCTATCACAATAATCAAAGATTTCAACTCTATTTCAATGGTTTTCGCTTATTCCTGTAATATTATTTTAGATTCTATCAGATTCTCAAATATAAAGAACACGTCGCTGAATTGTTTATCACATTTCGAAATTGAGATTTGAAGGTTATGGGATAAAAACTTTCAATAGAAATTGTTGCATTGATTTTCAAAAAGGTAACAATGGCCCACATAGGAGCCGAGTGTCACGTCGCCTCCCATGCAATCTCCAGCGGATCCATAAATTTCAACGATTCAATTGGTAATCACAATATTGAATTACTCGAGCCTATTCTCCCCCTTGTGCTGCAATTGCTAGCCCTTTATACTTGTCTTTTTTTGAAAACTTTGGATTGAATTAATAAAAAAAGAGGCAAGTTTAACGGTGGCTGTAAATGATTTATTTTCATTCATTTGGACGTACATTTTACTGTTAATTAAAAAGATTAATTTTCGGGTGTATTTGATAAATATTATTAAGGAATGAATGTATTTTAAATAGTGATATGATATGAAATATGTGGTTAAAAAATAAGAAATTTTTTTTGATATGATGAAAAATATTATTTTATTAAAAAATATGTGGTCGAAAATGAGTTTTGAAATAATGTGTACCAAACATGGACAAAAACGTTTTTTTTTAGTGTATTCTTCAATTTTAGTTATTCTGGACAGTATTGGGCCTAATTTCCTCTTAATTTTTTCAGTCTTATCTGATGCATTTTAAGTTGGGTAATGCTACATGTACACACACACTTTTACACAATCTTTTACACCTCTCTCACATGGAGGGGGGTCCACGATTATTTTATTATGTGTGGGCCTCCCTCCATGTGAGAGAGGTGTAAAAAATTGTGTAAAAGATTGTGTTCACTTAGCATTATTCTTTTAAGTTTGGTATTGCTAGGGGTACATCGCCCCTCCAATGAGGAGGCCCCACTTGGCCATTATGTCACCCCTTGTGTAAGGGGTGATGTACAAGAAGCATCATTCTTTTAAGTTTCTAGTGTTTTTTACCTAAAAGTCATGACTTCTATAATCAAGACAAACTAGTCACATCCATCCTTTCGACTCGAATTTCTAGATACTACATTTAGTTAAAGATTAAAATTAAATTGGGTCTATTTCTTTAGTCTAGATTCTGAAACTTGCCATTCTAAACCCATAAAAATTCCAAAATTAGGCACCAGTGTAGGCAAGTTGGCAATGAAGACCCCACAACAGTTGAAATTTTTTTGAAAGGCCCAAGTAAAAGAAACCATCAACCCTTTATGATAAGCACTAGCACTAACAATCCTACCACCACCAGCTTGCACCAACTTATCCTTGTAATCATTCACTTCATTTCATACGCATAAATGGCATATCATACACAGAATTCCAATCACCATAGGCATCCAAAAACATGTGGAGAATACTGGCCACTGCAAGAAGAAACCTTGGAAACAGGAAGAAAAGATCACGGCGGGTCGCAGATGAGAACATCTTCCACAATCTAGATAACTTGCCGCATGTCGATATAGAAAGAAGAAGATCTGGAGGAGGATGGCGTAGTAATGGTCTTGCAGCTGTTCTGTATTGCATCATACGCGCTCCATTCTCGATGATTTCATGTCTGTCGGACCCTCGGATGAATGGCGCCGATGACATGTGGATGTCTGCAGAGCTGCCACAGATTGCAGAGGTGAATCATCTCAATGTTAGAGACAGCATGCGCTATGCCATTTTGATGTGAAACATACTGCAAGAAAACCATGCCTACACAACATGGTTTTGAGAAATATGGTTCATGAATAGATGTTTGATGCAGTTTTGCTGGTTTCCAGTTTGCATACCTTAGTGTCATGTACTTAAATTTTGCACATCTCTGTAGGGTTTAGGCATGGTCATCATAAGCAGATATCTCTCCACACACACACATACACTAACATTTGTGGTGTAATAAAAGAACGTTTAAGCGAAGTAGTTGATTCCTATAGCAAAAAATAACACAAACTAAATGTTTTCTAGAATAATAAATATGATAGATGAGCTCATCTACTTAAATCCGTGTTATAAATGAGTGAAATAATTATTCTCATGCTTGAATTAAATTATTTATGAAAGTAACTAGCATATTCTATTTGTTAATATTTCCAACATAGGTATCTTGAGCAATTTAGGTAATTACTACCATAATCATGCAAATGATAAAGTATTAAAAGAATATAGTAACTAATGTCAATAAATTGAGCGCAAAGAACGCATAATGGATATTTTTGACAACGGAAGTGGTTTTCCTGCTAGAATGGGTGGGATGGATCTGATTTGCCAAGTGATTTGGTCATTCTTTTTCTTCATCTCTATAGGTCAACAAAACAGACGCTGGCTAGTGTAGCCGCCAACAGAAAAGGTGGTGATAGCCAATGCAACTCGAGGGAAAAGACAGATCTTATGTATGTGAGAGGAAGTGAAAGTAAAACATTTAAAGGGGGGTAGATATTGGTAAATGTATGTAGAAAACTGTATCGATGAAGGATGTCAAAGGAGAGTTTTGCCTTCATTTTTTCTCTTAACTCTTTGTTGGCTAGCTATGTCACATAGAAAATGTGCCTGGAGCTGTCTCAGACTCTCAAGAACTTGTGCCGTTGTTGTAATACCCAGACCAGGAAAGTTTAAAAGATTTGATAGGTACTACTCATACCAACAAGATGTACCTTCTTTTCCGGAAGTCTATCGCTAGAAACTCTACAGTTAAGCATGCTTGACTTGGAGCAATTCTATGATAGGTGACCTCTGGGAAGTTTTCTTGGGGAGCTTGCGAATGAGGATAAAGCATGCTGAAAAGACCCATGTTGGTACAGTGGGGACAGTACATCGTCGATTTAATGGCCGGGACATCCCTTTAAGTGGGACCCGGGTCGTTACAAATGGTATCAGAGCCGGTTGCCAGTCAGAAATCGAGAAGTGCTATGCGGGATAAAGTGCTACGTCATAGGGCGGGAGCCACATTTTGAACCCGTAGGAGCCACCTCTTGAATCCCAACGCTTGGCAACAGATCCTCAGATGGATCAAACGCGACGAGGACGTCGCGAGTGGTTGCCAGCCGAAAATCGGGAACTAAATGCTATGCGGGACAACGTGCTACACCATAGGGCGGGAGCCACCTCTTGAACTCGTATGAGCCACCTCTAGAATCCCAACGCCTAGCAACGGATCCTCAGATAGATCGAGCGCGACGAGGACGTCGCAAGTCTAACGGGGGGTGATTGTAATACCCAGACCAGAAAAGTTTAAAAGATTTGATAGGTACTACTCATACCAACAAGGTGCACATTCTTTTCAGGAAGTATATCGTTAGAAACTCTACAGTTAAACGTGCTTGACTTGGAGCAATTCTATGATGGTGACCCCTGGGAAGTTTTCTTAGGGAGCGTGCGAGTGAGGATAAAGTATGCTGAAAAGACCCATGTTGGTACAGTGGAGACAGTACGTCGTCGATCTAACGGCCGGAACAACCCGTTAAGTGGGACCCGGGTCATTACAATTGTAGTGTTGCTTCATCACAAGAACTTGTTCCTCAATGTCGTATGATTTATTGAGCTACTGACCCATCATTAGGTGTTTGTCTTATTATTAGTTGTTACGGTATCGTACACTTGTGATAGAAAATACACAACATTGGCCCTGCTTGATGCTAAAATGGCAGTTCACAGGGTGCAGGTTGCGAATTGTATGATTATTGTGGTGGCAGTCCACTATCTTTGAGGGAGAAGGCCTTCTCTGGTCAGCCGTCAATGCCTTTATTCTGTGCATCAGATAGCTAAGGATTAACAAGACTAATCCAATGAAAGTTTTGCTTATGTCATCACTTCATCTCTACACGTTGAACAGCTTATGAGCAGCAAGATTTGTACAAGAAAAGGCTTACTTATGTGTGTGCTTTTGGTCCAACTCGACAAACGACTCTGAGCGTTCGACTTTCTTATCTCATTGTTTTTGTTCTGCTCGTCAGGCAACCTTGAGATTTTGCTCTGTGTATGAGACACCTTAGAAGGAATAAGACTTGTGCAAGAAAATGCTTTTCATTCTCCAAGCCGCAAACACCTAAACTATTTTCACCGACTTGTATACTTTGCTTAGGCTTTGGTCAAACTCGATCTTTTCTTGGAACTCGTCTTCCATTCTTCATCATTGCTGCAGAAACTTCTGTCTTCCCTTAACTAAATAAACTTGTTCTATATTGGATAAATGGAAAATGTTACTTTTCATATCTGAACTGTTGCAAGTTTATATTTTGGCCATCGCATTTCAAATCTTTCTTTTAGTGATTTCCTTCAAATTCTCAACAATCACGTGTAGACAAGAAATAACCTAAACTTAAATCACATGGTTAGTCATCGATTACTGTGTTTTGGTATCATCAAAACTACAGGTGAAAGATTGGGCCAACAAACTTGACGCAGTTGTTACAATTTTGAAGGCTCTAAATCTTACAGACATATATTCTGCAGAAAATATATTGAGTTAAATAGAAAAGAGATAATTTTATATGTCATGATGAATAAAGCATGTGAATTCTAATGGAATAAAATATATTGATTTTCCACGTGAAATGTTGCTGGTCGTGCTACAATTAAAACCAAAGTGTCAAGATTAAAGGTTGGCAAAGATTGATAGACAGAGATTGCACATAGATATATATTTACGTTTAAATAAATGCATATAGTGCTGGATGAAGATAATTACACAGGGCAAAAAATGCAAGATAACATACTTTGATACAAGATGCTGGATCTCAAGTCTTCCCATAACTGCTTTCTCTCAGATGCTCAAGCACAGCTTTCTCGCCTGTTAAGTACTCCACTAGTCCTGTCAAATTATGAACAAAATGAGTTGAACGGCAGGGAAAAGTGAGTTAAATAAAATAATATATATTATTCTCATTCAACTCCTAAACTACATCAACAAAAACCAAGCAGGCAAGTAATACTGCAAGCATACACATCATGTTCAAAAAATGTAACAAGACAAAACCATATGAACCACATGTTACTTCACGACATAAAAAGGAGTAAAGCAATCTTGTTTATAATCAAGCTATAGTTAGGATGAACATACAGCATACCATTGGCATAATTTCTACAGTCGTGATGACCAATCCGAAGATCAGTTTCCCATCTTTCATTGAATTTGCTTGCTGCATCAACAGCATTGAAGTCAGAGTATCCAACAAACCAGCATTTTCTATTTGGCAATTTCCCTAGCTTCCTCATGAGAACAACTCCTGTCAAATTTCCAAAATCGGAAATATATATTTCATTTTACATCAAAGTTAGCTATCTTGAAAATATTTATGAAAAATACACACCACAGAAAATGAACTAATTTGCAGATTGTTTTAGCACAATTATTTGGTTTTGCTCTTGATTATGAAATTTGTGACTCGTTAAAATTGTTATACTAATAAAGTTAAAAGTACCTCCTATTTTTCAAGCACATGTGATGCAAATACTAGAAACTTGAAAGGAATCCAATCATCCAGATGCTCCACCATCTGGACTTCTTAATAAATAGGAGAAAGTACTACAACTCAAACATAAAATCTGAAATCAAACTATGAAACCATAATATATTCTTGGCAACAACTTCAAAAAACACTGTGAACCTTGAATGTCTCTTAAAAAGACAACTAATGAATTATCCCTCTTTTCCTGGACAGCTATCATATAATTTTTTTTACAAATATACTTGCATAATTGCATAAAATCGAGTTCTCTGCTACAGTTTGGAATACCAATGTATCAAAACACTTCAGCTTCAAAATGATAATGTTGCTATCATATGCTCATCCACGATATAAATTTCAGTCCAATCTAAAGGACCCTAAGCATTTGAGTGTCTTTCATTGAGGAGATACAAGATCAGTGAGTAATCCTAATTATGCTTAAATGAATAAACATAAATCCTCCATTTGCATTTAAAAGTAAGAAATCTCACTTTACCAACCAAATCTATAGTAATGAGGCTCTAGCTCTGTATGGACCAAGCAAAACCAAACTCAGGTACAAGGTTAGAATAGTGGAAGAAATATGACTCTGATACCAATAAACAATAGTTTTTGGTTAACTTAATAAATTCTAATGGATCAATCTCATAGTAATTACATTATTATTTACATCATTTTCAAAATTCAGCTGGCACAAGAAAATATATAATGTATCCTTTTAGTTGTGCTGATATTAAATCATGTAAAGATTTAGTTTGCCATTTGTGCAGATTATGTTCTCTAATCACTTCACAGTTCACACAAAGCTTCAAAGGCACATACTCCCTCAATTCACCATGTCAGCATCATCTTGACGCAAGAAAGAAACCAATTGTACCAAATTTTAAACAAACAATAGTATTTCAATTTGACCATCGACACCTATATCATGGCATCCAATATTACCATCTAAAAATTTGCACCCACGACTATGCTATTCTACTTTTGTGCTGCCAGTATCATATTACATGATTTTTGGCTATGGTAAATTATACAGTATAAGAATCGCCATATATATATATATAGAAGCAACCTTTTAACAAATTCTGTTATTAGTTTTTGTCTATGGTAGCATATTTTTTCTTCCATTTGTAGGTATCAAAGTAGGTCTAAACCCTGATATGTTACCCCCACCACTAATCTTGCACTAAGCCATATAGGAATTGAATGTCTGATTTCAGTATGTCATCGCTGAGTTGTAAACATGTTCATGAAGAAATGCAACAGTCACGTGCAATAACTCATTTTGATCAAATTCACTCTTGGTAATTTTTTAGCTACAAAATTTTGAATTGCTACCTGGCAGTCATCTCACTCTTGGATAATTGATTCTGGTGCTTCTAATTTTTCTGATTTATTCTAACTACTACATTTTTATAGAAAATCTTCCTTGCCTTCTTACATTTGTACATCCATATCAAAACTTGACCAGCATTTTGTTCTTTCCTTCCTTCCAGTTTATTCTTTTGCCATTGAGCAAATTCAATGCTTCCTAAATAGTTCTATTATTGTTTCGTCTGATTTAAAACAGAATTAAAAGTCGAAGAAAGTTATTGGGAGAGGTAGGCAACATGGCAGTCTTCATTAATAGTAATTCCTAGTCCCTAGTATAGTTTCAGTGATATCTCCTGGAGCACATTTTGATTAATGGCATTGGCATTAGGGATATCAAAACGAAAAGCTTTGGACAATAATATTTTTATGTCAAATAAATGCTAGCGCTACTTATCATCTCTCAAACTGCACCAAGCTACATTTTCCTGACAATGAAATGTCTTTTGCGTTGTGTTTTTAAGTTTATCAATTCTAATATTTTGGGGTCCTTAAGGAACTCACTTACTTTCAGGTGACGATTTACTGCATCGCATAGGTTTCTCAGTGCATCACAAAAGTGAATTTAGTGGCACCATACTTCATTCTTTCTTCAATAAAACAAGTTCAATACAACAATTTGTAAAATTCGATATAACAATGCCCACGAGTTTTTAATCGACCCACAAATTAAGTTACACCATCAGCATCCAATTACATGAATATATTATACTATAACGTCTTCAGAATTTCTATCTCAACTCCAGATGTTGCTTCCTTATTTTACAAACTTTTCCAAGATGTCCTCCGGTCATAGTAACATTTAGGATATGCTTATATGATCAAAATAATAATATTAAAAATTGCAAATGCAAACTAATTCAGAAAAGATTTTGGTGCACTAAATTCCCACATAAATTGATCAATTATAGAGCTTGAGACCTAAACAAGTTCTAGACGTGAGGAAAAAGAGGTGCACACACACCAGATTCAATTTTCCAAAAGAATTGGATGAAATTCCATCATTTTTGGAACATCACACAGAACATTTTGCATTTGTGTCTTCATCTTATGAGATGTGATTCTCTTTATTCCTCTATGATTTATTATAAGCATGAATTTTAGTAGCCTCAGTAGGAAAAGTGGACTTAGTAGACAATGTATTGGACGAAATGGACATGGAATAAAGAAGTTTATGTGATTGGAAAACACCAAACAAGTTCAAAGAGGAAGCTTTTAGCAATGATTGCTAAATCAACTGCAGTTTATGGTACTTACTGTTAGACTAAAGAACATAGTGCCTATAAGACAAACGTAGCATAAATGGGAGTGTTAAGATGGATGTATGGACACATTAGAACGAATAAACTAAGAAAGGCATATATCAACAAGTGGACGTGTCACCAATTGCTAGGCAACCAATGTGAAACTATAGGGGTTACAGTTCATATTTCCGGTGTTTGTAGCATGCGAAAATGAATACCTTCTCAAATAATAAATCATAAAAAATGAGAAGTTTAAGCATGGCTACAGAATGATCATACACAGTTATATACAGCCAATTCACTATTAAAAATCAAGAAAAATGGACAATGTTAAAGGCTCACCAGGTACTTTTCTACCAGATAATGCTGCAACTGCAACTAATATATTTTCAGGATCCCGAGGTTGAAAATCATAAACTAAAGCCTGCAAAACAAGGGGAATAAAATATATTATTTGGCATTAGGCAAGATGGAAAATAATAATAACAACAACAACAACACGACGACAGCTACAACTAGATGTTTTATGTAAACACTATTAGCCCCTGTTCGGTCTGGTTAATCCAAGTCCAACTCAAACAATCAATATTGATCAGTCCACAACTTTTCAACCACGCTTTTCAAAAACTTACAAAAAATCTAATTTTAATCCTAGAAAGAAAACATCAGAAAATCGATGGAACCTGAGAGTGAGGAGACTTGAAGGGTTTGATTATGACCATATAATGCTGCAAATCCCACAAATTGAGAGAGTAAGCAGTTGAAGTAAACAACTGGGCAGGCCCTGTTGTCGCCCTCAGTGGCACCGCCGCTACGTAAACTTCATCCCTGCTGCTTGTGATTAGCGATGTTAAACTCATAGCTTTGCAGAATAAGAGAGACATCGCATCGGATGAAGTAATGAATGGTCGTGACGAGTTTTGAAGAATATTGAAGTTACGAGTAATTTTGTTTAACGGGTGTATTCAATGTAGACTAAAAAGGTCCACGTGTATTCAATAAGTGTCCTTTGATTGAAAAATAGATGTAAAGAAAATAAATTCTAGAGAAAGTAATTATTTAGAAAGTATTTTTTTAGAGAATTGTTAATTAAATGTGTTTGATTGGTTTAATTTTCGATCGAGAAAAATTTGAAATTTTGAATTCTTTTGTTCACGTTTGACTTTATTTTACATGAAAATTGTCCATTAAAGTGAATATTTTTTTTACAATTGATTATGAAATTTGTTACCATTTCCAAAAAGTAAAAAT